AGAGGTGAAAGTAAGGCAGTGCACCATTCCAGTTAGAGCTGGCTGGGGTGCTCCACTCTGGCAACAGTAGGCAGGCGGGCTGAAAGAACCAGTTAGGGGTGTGCTGCAGGGGAGGTGGGCGCTCTCCCAGCCAGGCTACTGGGAGGAGCTGGTGGTGGTCCCCATCTGGCCACTGTGGCCTAGCCCTGGCACTGCTCCTGCAGTGGACGGGGCTGGGAGGAATCAGCTCCCACCTGGCCATGGCGATCCAGGCCGAGCCACTGCAGCCTGATCCCCACGGCCTGTCATCAGCCCGGATCCTGGAGCAGGCCCCATGATCCTGTCCCCATCTGCCATGGGAGGGATTGGTGGCAGCCTAGCCACACTCGTGCCATGGCAGGGGTAGGGGAGTGGACTCGGCCCATCTGAGCCCAGCCCCTTGTCAGGCCATGGCTGTCTGGCTGCAGCATCCCAGCCCCCATCTGGTGATCCCCATCTGGCCATGGCAGGCTGGCCAGTAGCTGGGAGGAGGACAAAATCAGCCTCTGTCCAGGCATGGTGATCCAGGCCTAGCCCCTCATCCAGCTGGATAGCATCTCCATCACTGGAGATATTCAAGAGCAGGGTGGACAGATGTCTGTCAGGGATGATATAGACTGTGCTTGGTCCTGCAGAGGCCTGGACTTGATGATCTCTCAAGGTCCCTTTGCAGTTCTAGTGTTCTGTGATTCTATGAGTTGCAGCTGATTTCCCATGCTCTCCTTTCCCCAGCCCAGCTGCGGCTTGCTTGTCCAAGTCCTCCCCTTGCCTTCTCCCTGCTCAGCTCCCCTTGCTAGTATGTGGAGTGGTGGTGGGTTTGGTTTCCCCTAGCCTGAGCTGCTGCAGAGTCCTCTTCTCCCCTCCCCCTAGTCTCAGTGGAGTCATATTGGGGGGAGGAGGGTTCCCTAGCCTAACCAGGCTTGCAGAGATAGCTGCCCAGTCCTCTTCTCTTCTAGCACTCTCCCCCCATGCTTGCTACAGTCCCTTCCTGGGTGAGCGTATGTCTACACTTGTACCCTCTTTCGAGAGAGGGATGCAAATGAAGACATTCGAATTTGCAAATGAAGCTTGGATTTAAATATCCTGCACTTCATTTGCATATTTGTGTTATGGCTCTATTTTGAAATAACAGTGTCTGTTATTTTGAAATAGCGCTAAGACGTGGTTAATTGGAGAGAAAACCCTTCTCTTGAAATAACCCTTATTCCCCATACAATGAGGTTTACCAGTTATTTCGAGAGGGTTTTCTTTCCAAATAACCGCATCTTAACAGCGTCTGTTCTTTTGAAATAGCACCATAACGCAAATATGCAAATGAAGCATGGGATATTTAAATCCCGGCTTCATTTGCAATTTCGAATGTCTACATTTGCATCCTTCTCTCGAAAGAGGGTGCAAGTGTAGACATACCCTTAGTCTTCCCCTTTCCTTGTTGGTGGATTTCCGCTCTCCCCCTCATGCTACTCACCTGCTCCCCAGGTCCTCCTCCCGTTCCTGCTTGGCCCTCTGCCACTCACTTACTGCAGTCCCCTTCTCCCCATTCACTCATCCCTTCCCCCAGCTCGCTATGTGGGTTGCCTCCTCACCTGCCACTTTTCCCTCCAGCCACCTCTTTCCTCCTCTCCTCTATGTGCTTCCTCCCCTTACCACACCATTCACCGCTTTCCAGTTCCACCCACCTGAGTTTCTCCAGCATCAGCTTTGACAGGCCCAACATCAAGAGGGGAGTCCTACAGCTGAGCTGGCCAACCAGTGAAAGACAGATACACATTTCACTCTGGACCCTGGATCCCCCGTGTTCCAGTACCCTTTGGCTAGTTGTTAGATTCCAGAACATGAATATTCAAAAATATTTTTGGGTGGACCCTAAAAAACCCCATTTTTGAAAAAAAATGGCTTGTGGAAACCAAGCATGCACTGAGAATAAATTTAAAGAATGCAGTGAGATGGGGGTGGGGAGCAGGGAAGAGAGGAGGAGACAATGGAAAGGGGGTGGGGAATGGCGGAGCAGAGGCATAGCAGGTCTTGGGCATAGCAGGGGTGGAGCTTTGGCATGGGCACAGGCAGAAGAGATAGACTGGGAGCTACAGCCTCCCCATGCAGAAGCTTCACCCACCACTTGGGACAGTCACATGAATGGTGCAACAGTTAGCAACCCACATACATGAAATATTAACTGCTTTCCAATCCCAGTGCTGTCAACACATGACATTAGATTTACATGACAGCACCTTTAATCTTGAGAGTTCTTGGTGCTCTCTCTGCCCCTCCCCCAATAACTACTACAGTGAACCCTCGTTTATCGCGGTAGATAGGTTCCAAACCCGACCGCGATAGTTGAAAATCCGCGAAGTAGGGACATGTATATTTAACATGTATACAGCGAGCCCTCGCTACTTCGCGGTTCGACTATCGCGGATTCACGTATATACATAATGTAATGAAAAAAGTCCGCGAAGTCGTGAATCCGCGATGGTCGAACCGCGAAGTAGCGAGGGCTCACTGTACAAGTTTTAAAATAGTCACATACTGAAAAACCCTTTTCTGAGGGAATGTGCCTAGACCCTTAGTTCAGCTGCACAAATGCCAAACCCCAGGACTAAATTGCTCTTCAGCTTATAAGAATAAGAATCCCCAACTGCATTTTCCCCTCAACTGTAGTTTATATTAATTTAGTTTCAATTAAAAATGATGGGTTACTCTAAAAGTTTATGATACTGGGGCTTCAAGGGTCCACCTGCATACCTCTATTCTTGTTTAAAAACCGTAAAGATCATATTACAAAAATAATTGAAGATCCAGACAAGTAATCTATGCTGTGAGTGGATAAAAGAAAAGCACCTGCAATGTGTGGCTTTATAGATAACCAACATTCAACTGCACCATTGTTAATTACAAGTGGCTTTTTACTTGGCTATAACACATCAGATCTGTCAGCACACCTGTTTTCGGGCAATTGGACAATCAAATATAGCCACCTCAGGCTGAAACTTGACATGGGTGTTTTAGCACTATTACTCCTAGGCTCAGTGTGCTTTTAGTTAATTATTTTGTTTCTATACCACAAATTTTCTATAATCAATTTTGCTACCCCAGGGAAAAAGAATCTGCTTTACACATAATTAGCTACGCTTTACAATGGTTACTCAACTGGAGCCTTGAAGTGGATTACTTATTTTGAAAGAACTTCAGTTTGCAGATGTAGAGCAAAACTCACTTTTACATTTCCTTCTTTGTTTAGAATAAATAAAATAGGAATTTATGCCCCCCAGAAATATTAAACTAATCCATATGTACAACACATTATGGGAGGACTGATTTTTAGCAGTTCCACTACTGTAATTATTTCACTGAATTCTCTAAATAGCAGCTCTAGCTTCAGAGCAGTTATAGCAAACTAAGCAATACATTTGATATTTAACTCCTCTGTAACCTATATTGCCAAAAATGTTTGTAGCAGTAATTTTTCATAATTAAAGAACTAGGCATTTCAAAGCATTTCCTGGACAGTCCAGTATTATTTCAGATCATATAATTTATTTTTCATTCATCTAGGCAAGATTAGTCTACAATTTCAATTCTTATTTTGCATTTGGTTCAAAATCCATTGAAGGCAGTTTTTTCCATGGGCTTCCATGGACTTTGGATCAGGCCCTTAAAATGCCTTGCACTGAAGGCTATTTAGCTATTCTTTATTTGAGCCATTTCACCAGTCTCTCTCTCACTAAATTAGCCTTAATTCAAATGTTATTCTAGAAAGAGACTAACCTAAGCAAAAGTCTAGTGTCCCTCTTTTTATTAAAGGGGGCCGGAGGGTAACCCAGAACAAAAAGCAAATTCTAATTTAAAGTGTTTCCAGATATTGGATATACAGAAGCAGAGGAATAATACACAAATGAAGAGGTTTAACCTAATTTTCAGTTTCTCCCTTAAATTGTACCTTGGTTGCAAGAGGCAGAGAAGTTAAATTTGTGCTTTACACTGATATATAGGAAACCTCCGACTTCCAGCCACCCGAGTTACGACCCCCTGCACTTACAAAAATGATTGTAAGTGCAGAAAGGGCCAAACCCCGACTTACGTCCTTGGCCCTGCATTTACAACGGTGCACAGTGCCTATTGTAAATAAGAGTTTAAGTTACAATGCCCCTGACTTGCACCGCTTCCCCAGGAACCAATTGTGTTGCAAGTCGGGAGCCTCCTGTATTTGCAATAGACACAGAGAATATGTCTTTTAGATTGTATCTGTTTGTCCATTTGTTCAAGAACTCTTCCTAATCTGTAAACACTAGGACCACCAAATTTGGTATGCAGCTTCCTCTCACCCCAACTTAAACCAAGGTCAGGGTTTGCTTGTGCCTGGGAAATGGGAATTACAGGGAACAGGGAACTATTTCCCATAACGCAGAAAGGGATGGGGCAGAGAGACAGGGCCAGCCCACAACATTTTGGCATCTGAGGTGGGGAGCTCAAATGCCCCCCCCCCCCCATGTCCCCTTACTTGGGCCAAAACTTTGAAAGGTCTCAATTCTGCCTTCCTGTTCTACTCCTCTCATGGTAGTGCAGAGAGAATACATATGCACCAGCAGCAGACACAATTTTCTACACTCTGGATCCTAGTGGTGCCTCCCCCCCAGTCTGGCACCTGAGGCGGCCACCTCAGTTCGCTTCACAGTAAGGCCAACCCTGCAGAGAGAAGAGGAATGCAAAAGGGAGGGGCATGGAGATGGGAGGGATGCAATACTGAGAGTGGCCATTGGGGGCAGCTGCAGCACCAAGAGTGGTTAGCAGGGCTCTGCCATCTTGCCTGCCAGCACATTAGTAAAGAGGCCTCTGCCCCAAACCTGGAGCTTACCTACTTTGTGGAGAGTCTGCAGGCTATGGGGTGGGGGGTTGTGGGAGGAGCCCCCAGAGCCTCTTCCTCCCCCCCAACTTCCTGCAGGCTGGGGCAGGACTGCCAGAGAGGGAGGAAGTCCCTGGAGATGAGGAGAGGGAATGGGGAGAGGGGGGACAGCTGGCAGGGGAGTACTGCCCTGGCCCTCTGGGAGGCGTTGCCTGCCACCAAGCAGCACCACCCTTGCCACTACAGGCAGCCCGGTAAGCCCTCCTCCCACAAGTCCTATATCTCTCACTTGCCTTGACTTCAGCCCTCCTACTTCCAACTCTCTTCCCTAAGCCACCTGCCTCCTGCCACTCCCCACCCCAGCTTTCACTCCAGCCTTAATTTTTGAAAAATGCAATAATTGAAATAACATGTATACTTTTCATTTATTTTTTTAAAGGAATTCCTTCAGTTACAGACCCGAGCAACTCCAGGTACGTCTGCTAGTAATGCCACAAGGAAGATGAATACATTTAGCAGGCTTATTTTACTGTAGTTTAAATGCATAGCAGATTTTTACTGTACAACCAACAGATTAGGTTGTATAGAAACATATAAACAGTGAATCCCTACAAATATACCTATCCTGTGTTGCGGCAGTATAGATGTGTGGACCTATTTCCTGACTTGCAGAAAATAAATCCAAGTATGAATGTTGCCTTATTTTTTTTTAAAGCCACTGACTGTCCAAGCATCAAATTACATTTAAGTTGGTCAACAGATAGAGACAAGGTGGAATAAATATCTCCAAACCTGGCTAATACAGTCAACTCTTTAGTTTCAGGGATCCAAATGTTTTTCATAGTTGTAACAGTTCCATTTATAAACTATTTGCATAATGGCACATCCATTTAAAGCTTTTGCAACTGCAGCCACAATCAGGATGATCTGTACCCAACTTTCTATTTTGTCAGAAAACAAAAGGGGTATGGTTTTAACACACTTAGGGTACATTTATACAGCAGTGTTATTTCGGAACTGATGTTATTTTTAAACAACAAAACAAAAAGGGCATTTATACTACAAGCTTTTATTTCAAAATCATGTCAAGCTGGAGGACTTCTTACTCCAACTCCTGTAACTCATATTTCACGAGAAGTAAGGGAAGTTAGTGGAAGAGTGTTCTTCCTTCAAACTTCTGCTGTGTAGACAGCACCAAAAGCCAAGGTCAATTGCAACTTAAGCTATGCAATTGACGTAGCTGAAGTTGTGTAGCTTAATTCGACTTTAGCGCTGTTGTGTAGATGCACACTTGCTTAGCACGGGGGAGGGAGTCAACGAGAGAAGGCTTGAACTGAACATTCCATGTGCTGTGCTAACACAGGTCAACAAGTGAAATCAACAGTAAGCAAAATTGAGCCAGATATTCATGTTATCCAAGCTGAAGAGTAAGCATAAACTTCATTAAGTGGTGCAAACTAACTTTGTACAAATATTTTTGAAACTTAATTTTTAGATAAATTTTTTGAACCCGACTCTCCATTGAATGAGTATTGGGAAGCTAAATTTCGAACCACAATACTCACATTGGACAGCTTGTTTTGCTACATCACTCATACTTAAGGTAAATCACCCAGAGTTCAAGTATTCTTGGATTTATGCAGAACTAAGGTCACTGCAGTGCAGTAATCTTCTATTTCCAAAAAACACCCACTCACACTTTACTGTAGTGAACAAACATATTAAACTAAACAATTTCCCCCTTATAGCACAAAAACAGTTGACACTACAAGGAAGAGTCAGGAAAATAAAATCTAATGGACTGTTATGGCTCCATTCACAAATCTACCAACTTTATGGCTCAAACTTTTATATGCAAAAATCTGTAGTCCTTATATTAGTTTCTCAACAAGTCAAGTATGGAACAATAATTGTAGCTGGCCATAGGAACAGGACTTGAAGATGATGGGCATATTTTATACATTTAAATTAAAAGAAACTTGAACAGAAAGTGAGGATTGATATAAAGAACAAACAAATGGATAGAGAAGGAAATATCTTTATTGCCTAATAAAGATTTTGGATTTATTGGAAGACTTACATGTGCAAATTAACTCTGCAATTTGATGGAGGTTTGTATTTTCACTACATATATACATATCTCCGTAGCCATCTTCTGTCTACTATTAGAATTTGGATTGTGCTTGTGTCTTACATGTGTCAGAATGGTCTATGCTGCTAGTGGCACAAGTAATTGAATGCACACCTGTTGTGACATTCCATTGGTGATAAGAACAGAACTGCCAGTGAGCCAAGCAGCTACTTTAACCAGTAGAAATACCAAATCTCAAGAGTTACATTGATGCACCTTACATATAGTATGCAATAGTGCCAACTCATTCCCGTCTTACATTTTCTATGCACAACTGTAAAACCGGCTTTGAAAGGAAAGTCCCAAAATGTAACTTTTAACACAACCTAAATTTCAGCAGCTTTTCATGATTTATTTAAAATAAGAGGTTCTATGGAAATAGTGAGAAATGTTTAAATGCAAGTCTGTCATTAAAGCATCTGAAATCTAAACAGTGTAAAATAATCACAACCTGAAATTGCCTGATGGAAAAATGAGTGAAACCAACTAGTTTAGTTTCACTGTCCAAACCGAAAAGAAAAAATACATTTGATAAATTTTCATTGAAGTTGCTGGTATAACACCAATCTTTTAGAGTCAAGATTTCAACCCAAACATCCCTTTAAAAAAACCATCGGTGCTTTCTAGCTAGGAGGAACTTAGATGAAGATGCTTCATTACTGTCAGTATCCAAACACTGAAATGCTTAGAAAATTCCTCAAACTACAGCATGACACATATTTTGCTTTTTAAGAGTGCAGCTTTGTGGAGATGATACAGTGCATCTAGATATTGCTGTTCAGTGGGTTGATTTTTTTTTGGTTTTGTCTAGTTTAGTTCAACTTTATATATAGTCTTTTGGTGAGTTGAAACCTAATTTATTTGGGTAAGTCTTTATGGCTTTTGGCCATTACTTGCAGCAGCATGTCATACTCAAGGTATTCTTAGAACTAAACACTATGAAAAACTTCTGAAAGGCTCAGTTATTTTCTGAAGTCTTTGAACAATAACAGCATTTTGCAAATTAGCTTCCTCCAGAGTGAGTGTCTCATCTAGCAGCTCTAGGAAAGGAAGAGATGTGGTCAGGCTGAAGGGAACACTTCCCTGCGATCCTTGATATTTTGTTATGAAGTCTCTGACATGGCTTATTCTGAAAAGGAAAAATAAAATCCAGCAAGTTAAAGTGCTTCTAAGTATTTGAGTCCACTGTTTTCCAAAGAGTGTGGGAGTTGAGCACAAGTCATGCACACAATGCAGCACGTATGCAGGATCTGTGGCATTTTGCAAAGTACAATGCTTGCACAGCTAGCGCAACTCATTTTTATATACTCTGCATTCTCTCCTTTGCAGCCCCAAGTTAGAACAAAGCCCATAGAAGTATTCTACACAACACGTTTCCAACTGCATTCACTACGACCCAGCAACTAGCATGCTAGCTGAACATAACACATTTTAGTGCCTTCATTCTGTTTTCTCCTTATTTCTACCCTGAAATTCTATTTGCTCTGTGACTTTAGGCCTGTCACTTGGGACCCTTCACCAGCACTAAATTAATACTAGATTAATGCTGGAAGTTTTGAAATTTACAGCTGAACTATCTAAGGTCAGAAGCACACAACTGTCTCTTAACTCAAACTTTATTCCAACCACAGTAGTACACATGCTCAAGAATGCTTTTAGTCATTTTCTGGCCCTCCGATGAAAAAACATGTTTATGATTATACAGGTTAAGGATATTATGGTTCCATAAAGATATTCCCTTGAATTTGCTTTTGACATTTCCATGATTTTTAACAACAGCACATACATATATTCACAACACATCACAAAAGCTCATTGGTGAACTATGATGGAATAGTCATTTTAAATGTTTTGTGACAATACGATTATGTGAAAGGGGCTGGTCTACTCATGCCAACAAAAACTGATGACACCATCTACATGTTTTGTTAGTCTATAAAGTGGTATCAGACCAGTTTTTGTTTTTTAAATTTATCCTGTACAGACTAACTCGGCTACCCCCTGAAGCTTCAAGTACAACGTGTCAGGTAAGACTGGTATGAACGTGAATCTATTTGTACTAGAATGAAAACTTACATTAGGAATTTCAATCCTATATATTTTAGAATAGGCAAAAGAGCCCTCCAATAGGTTTAATAATCAAAAATGCAAATGCACCTCTCAATATTAACAATCCATCGTCATAATGGACTCATTTGGTTAATACGGACTTTAGAGACAGTGAATATTAAACAAATGGATCCTATCAGATTTTTAGTATCTTGCTGAATTCAGAGACAGACTAACTGATAAGCAATCCTTATTTTGCCATCCTGACTTGGTATAAATTAATATACAGTGTACTAGAGAGTGCGCAATATAACTTGAACTGGTGTTGATAGTAAGCTTTATGATCACTTTAATTGCTTCAGAGAGATACATAGCACAAGGTATTCATTCAATATGTTTACACAGTTGTGCTATCAATGTAACACAGTATAGGAAAAGATCACTGAAAAGTTGTAGTTTTACAACCCAATCTTCTTTAAAAGTTGATCCCAGCTCGAGGTGTTAAAATATGTTTATTCTGGTAAACGTGTAACCACTGAAATTTTCAGCGTTTACACGTGGGGGGAGGCAGTTCCTGAGGAACTGTCTGCCCTCCACTCTGCTCTGCTGCCTCTGTATCAGCAAGTGGCTGTGGGGGTAGGGAGAGGCAAAGCCAGCTCCCTGCAAGCACCAGCTCCCTCCTGCCCTGTCCCACGCTGCTGTCTCCGATACAGAAGCAGCAGCGTAGAGAGAGGGTGGAGGGCGTCTTCAAGTAACCCTGAATGTTAACTGCTTACATATTCACATCCCTCATCACAGCCACTTGCACAGCTTGTAAGCTATACTAGACACCCTGACACTATCCACAGGCTGGTTTGAAGTATTCTACCCACGCTGTCAAAACAGACACCTAAATAAGTGCTCTCCCCCCTGCAGGATGCTGGGATTTCACTAGCATCTGCACCATGCTCATGGGTTTCTCTTAAAATTTGGATCACCTCCCCATATATGTATTTAATTGCTGAGCAGGACAAGAAACATTATTTCTCTTGACTCCCCCTCCCCATCCTTTAACTGTATCTCCCAGCTAATGTAAGAGTGAATGGAGTTTCCACTTCTGTTCTTCTCCCTGGATGCATTTTGTGGGGTGTAAATTTGTGCTATTCTCCTTCTCCCATCCAGCCTCAGGCTTTGGGCTCTCCTCCCCAGCCGATTGCCTCAGCAGTACACTCAATCTGAAATCTACCCAGATCATTTCGGCTCACAGGGTTCGCAAGATCAGCAATGAACGTTGATGAGTTCCTGATCCTTGTCACCTCTGCTTAAGTTTGGAAAGCTAGGAGCAGCAGTGGCCCTGAATCTTCCTATATCTGCAGACACTGGGTTACTATCAGCTCATGTCTGGAAGGTTCTCTCTGCAGCTATAAAGGCCTGAAAATGTATTGAATTATAAAGAGGGAAAACTTATGCATTTAGACACTGATGGCATTTGTCAGAGAATGCTCTCTGCTTCACTCTGCTATGTGGATTTTTCAAGCCCTCTTATCTGTTGCATTGTCCACCCCATGCTCACCTACCACTAGTATTTATTCCTAGCTATGAACAACCAGCTGCTTTTATTAGTTTCTCATACAAATTCTCAAGAAGTACTTCCTGTGAGAACACTTGCCTTTTTGAAGACCAGTGATCTTAAACAAATGAGCTGTACAAAAAAAAGATAAATACAATAAAAAAAATCTGTACTGCCCCTAGATGACCCTCTATAATTCCTATAGCAAGAAACCTCAAAGACACTTAACTTTCAGTAAAATGACAAAAACCCAAGAGTTACGCCTTGATAAATTTGGTATTACACAGATATTGATTAATTAATTAACTCAGTAGTTACACTAACAAACAGTTAGGTTTTGTTTTCCCTTCTGCTGCACGCATGTACATCATGAATTTGATCAGTTGCTCCTACACACTTCAAAGGACAAAAGTAATAATTTTTGTTTTTGTGTATCTGAGAAGAACTCAGAAGAGAGACCATATACTTACAGAATTTCTAGACCTATTAGTGTAAAAGGGTTAATGGGACAGTCACCTCCAATGCTTATATATGATAGTGATAAGATAATCTTACCTATGAGAAACATTAAATTTTTGTACTATCCTTTCCCCATCTGCTAACCAGATCTGGATCTTAGTGACTGGTTCCAAATCACTTAGTGTTACTGAAGGAAGTGGTCTTTTGTTCTCAAATTCAAGGTCATTATTCGCTTTAGAAATTATTCTTGGAGTTGCACTGAAAAGAAAAGCCAAACAAGATTAAACAGTCCACATAAAAATCATAAGCTAGAACAGTCATTAACTTATTTTTTGAGTGAATTGAAACCTTTCTAAAAGGTTCTAAATCCCGTCAGAGTGCACAACTCAGTTGCGGCAAGCCTAGGAATACAAATTGAGATTGTGGCTTTACTAGAGAGACGCAACAACTCTAAACTTGAAAACTTTAAACTTGATGTTAAGGGAGAGAATGCCATATTTCTGTTAATAAAAATAAAGGATATCTATTCTATATTTTGAAGAGTTTGTGGATTTGTTTGTGCAAAATAAAGTCATACTTCGTGATTACCTACAAATACCAAATTTTGCATAAACAATCCTGCCACTTAAATGAGCTAAATTAACTACTTTTTATTCCAGAATATGCTGGGTGAAAGGCTTAAATAATTATTTTTGTTTTTCCATCAGAAAAGTCATGACTGTTATGATTAGAGTTCATAAAAAAATATATGCTAATAAAATTAAAATTGAGTCACCTATTCAACTGTCATTTTAGTGCAAAGAAAATGTTTACGGTTACAAATCACAAAATAATTCAAATTAGTTACAGAAAGAGTAACAGCAGCTTTACAAGTTTCTATTTCAAATTTATTATGTATGGCAACTATTCAGTAAAATGAAGAATGTTTGAAATTGAAATCCTAAAAATTTAAAACTGTTCTTTTACTTCCCTTTTACAAGCACATAATAAAAAAATTATTACACATATTTAATGTCTTCAACTTTCCAATAAATTGAATCAACACAAAATGACTTTGCCTGGTCAACGATGGGTCTCACCTGCAAATTTAAATAATTATTTAAGAGATTAAGAGAGAGAGAGATGTAAGTGATAAAGACATCTACATAATAGGATTTGATGTTCCATTGCCTAGGTCTCCTTCACCAGGCAGAAATAAACTAACACAGTTTTGGAAGTTTAAAGAATTTGCAGACTAACAGTACTTTGTTGGTGGGCTAAAATGTGGTGTGTATGGCTGGTATTTTTTTAAAATGAACAAAACAGATTACACATCACCCATTAGTGATGTTTACTGTGCTCTAGGAGCAGTAGAATAAGTCTCTAAAACCGTAGTCCCCAACACGGTGCCCGTGGGCGCCATGGCGCCCGCGGGAGCATTTGTCTGCACCCGCCAAGTGCTCAGGGCTGGCCTGGCCCCAGGCACGTGGCACATGCGCGGTGCCGGAGCCGGCCCCGGGCACGTGGCGCACGGTGAGCGCCGGCTCCGGGGGCGCCGCGGATTGACCACCTGCACTCTGGGCACGTGGCGCATGGGGAGAGCGCAGGCCCCG